TGAAATTAGAAGAAAGAGACAAAACATAAGAAAGACTTATAATATTCAGAGAAGAATGATAATTCAAAATAAACCTAATTAAAGATGAGATCAATGAAGGTATAGGGGATGTTTAGAAGTATTACAATGATGAATTTGGAGAAATGCAGAAGAACATTGATCAAGTCAAAAGCAAAGTACAGAAAGATGTCGACAAAGTCAAAAGTGAAGTAAGTAAAAATATCAATGAGATAAAAAAGAGCATCGGCTGAAGAATAACATTTAGAAAATGATTTATTAAATGTAAATATTAAATCAGCCACACCTCTTTCTGCATTGGCTTAAAGGTTCTAACTTAAACCACCATTCACACTACTCTGCCCCCCCCCAAAAAAAACTTTTCCCCTCCCTGTAAAACTTTCTGCAGATACCCATGTCACCATTTACTGGAAAATATGGAATAGGAGGATGTCTTTGGTCAACACCTGTTACTGCTGTGTCATCTGACTGTATGACCTTCCTTGACTACTTCAACCAGTTTTAGAATTTAGCTGTCTTGTTCAACAATGGCCAATTGAGCAACCAATAGATCATGATGGGAAGGTACCATAGAAGGCATACCAAGCTCAATTTGAAATCATTTCCAGTCTGAGTGGATGGAATAATGAACAACAAGCTATTCATGTTGCTGCCCCTTTACAAGGACCATCTTTCACAACTTTAAGTAACTTTCTAGCTTAGATCCGTAACATCTATGAAGTATTTGTAGCTACCACCTTATCTAAAAGGTTCAGAAAGAAAAATTATCCAGAGCAAAGTTATATAACAGGCTACAGAGGAAAGAAGAGACTTTACTGAACTCACAGAAGATTTGGAAAGGCTTACTCTATTATCCTACTTAGACACTAATAATGGCTGGAGACGGCTTGAATGGGTAATGAAGAAAAACTTTAATATAAGTTTAACATAACAGCAAATGTACAACGTGTGGACAAGGTTTTGTCTCATCATCTGATGGATTAGTGGACATGCGACTAATTTATAGATACCATATCAGATAAGGATATGAGAATCAAGCTGAAGCAAAGAATGTGTACATCTTTAAAGGAAACTTTGAAGTTTGTGACGGAACTAGAATCCATTAAGAATGGAAGAAACAAATCACAAGAAAATTGGTGTTTCAAATCAAACTTGAAAGGAGATATTGGTAGGAACTGTAGATTATAGCCAATATGGAATAAGAACTTCTCCCAGAGGGAACTGTGGCCATTACAGTTGAGACTGAGAAATCTACAGCTGTTATAAAGCCAAGGAGACAATACCCTGAAGATGTGCCTTTGAGTATAACCAGATCAAAGGAACAACAAAGAGCCAATCAGATATATATAAAAAAAAAAATGAAGTAGCTAATTGGATTTATGGGGGTAAAGTTTAGCTGGGAATACTTCATCTGCACCAAATGAGAAAAGGTTTTGTTTTTTCTTTGAGGAAAATCATCCCTGAGTTGTTGGGCTTATTGGTAGAAATTCTTGCAGTATGCTGATTGACACTGGTCATACAGCTACAATAGCTGAACCAAATTTGTTAACGATAGGTGGGAAATTGCTTCCAGAGATGAAGAAAGAAGAGGGATTGATGTCTATAGGAGATGGGCATAAAGTTCCAGCAAGAGGGAAGTTAGAAGTTACCCTTACTGTAGGAAGCTTTTCCGTACCTCATAATGTGAGGGTAATTGACATTGAGAAAGAGTGAATATTGGGAAATGACTTAATGTGGTGACATAGATGCAGAGTTAGGCTAGTTTTAGGTAACTTCACAGTCTATGAAAAATCTATATACTTTTAGTGATGACAGAGAGGGTGGTCACTGTACCACCAAGAAGTGAAATATTCGTACCAGGAGTTTTTGACAATAAATATTCATTTAGTGATTGGAGCAGAGTGGAACCAAATACACGTATATCCTGAAGAATTGGTGGTTGGAAGAGCTCTCTGGATGTTAAGGATAAAGATGTCAGACATTAATTTAACCAGGGGAGACTTAAATCAGCTTGTGATAAAACATGGTTGCTGCAATGATGTTAATGCTGATAGAACTAGATTTCATCAAGGTGACATGGTATGGCTGAACAGTTCTTATTGAGAAAGAGGATCTGCTCCAAAGTTAAAGAGCTGTTCATAATGGCCATACATCATACTGAAAATAATCAATGATTTGGACTACAGAATCCAAGCCAAAGGTAATTCACTATGGTTATGTTTAAGTACATTGGTGAGAACAGTAAACTGGGTAACTTCAGAGAAGGACTTGTCAGTGGAAACTCAACTTGTTAAGAAGCTCTGAGTTTCAGTTGAGACTTCCTTTCACTTTATCACCTACATAGAATAAACTCCCCCTGCATCAACAAGGGACGAGACACCATCCCATTTGTATATCATGGGTTTACTTTAGTGTTTCATTTTTGTATTAGGATTGTTCAGGGGACTTTACAGTCTAGGAAGGGGTCAGTGTTTAAAGCTATATTTTTATGTTGTTCTTTGTTTTAGCTAGAGGGCACATCATGCTAAGATCAAGTAAGTTTGTGGGAGTAGGCCTAGAAAGTTCTAAAATCTGACATAAGGAAAATTTAGTAAATTTTGAGAAAATTGAGACTAGTGTAGAATATAAATATATTAGAAGCAGTGAAACATGGTGTGTTTCGCTTTGACATAGTGAGTGAGCAGTGAATGAATATTGAATTAGTTTTATTTTTAGTCATTCAATGAAGATTTAGTGGTTTTTGGATCCAAGTTAGTTGTCACATATATTCAGTTACTTGATTGATCAACTGTGAAATTTTATAAATAAGTTTATTTGTATGTTAGTCATAATACCATTTGTAAACTTAAGCCTACAAGTTACAACATGTATAAGTTTGGAGCAATGATAAAGAAGAATTAAACTGATTTGTTATTACAAGTGGACAGGATTTCAAATTATTTTCATTAATAAAGCTAGTGATACATAGTATAATGTCTATATCAAAATATATACAAGTATTATAGTGTGATGGTAACTAGTGTAATGTCTATGTATAGACATACTAGTCTGATAAATAAGGGTAGTGATGATTTGTATGTACACAGATATCAGAGTCTGATAAGTAAGGGTAGTGATGATTTGTGTGTGTGTTGTGTGTACACAGATATCAGAGTCTGATGAATAAGGGTAGTGATGACTTGTGTGTGTGTTGTGTATACACAGATATCAGAGTCTGATGAATAAGGGTAGTGATAAGTAGTATGTACAGTGCCTTGCAAAAGTATTCACCCCCTACCAATAATGTCACATTTTGATGAAATACAAATGATGTAAACATTTTTATTAATGAACTTGTTTTTATTTAAAACTCTAATGATGAAACTTAACACTATGTGTGAAGGAGGTTGAAAGTCAGCAAAACCTGCAATGAAAATATATAAATTAAAATTTGCTGATTGTATAAGTATTTTGGCAGCAATTACTGCTATGAGTCTTTTTGGGTAGGTCTCTACCATATTTGCACAATGGGATGGTGTAATTTTTGTCTATTCTTCTTGGCAAAATTGCTCCAGTACTGAGAAGTTTATTGGGAATTGTTGATGGACTTCTCACCATAAATTTTCTATTGGATTCAAGTCAGGACTTTGACTGGGCCACTCCAGGACATTTACTTTCTTCTTCTGAAACCACTACAATGTGGCTTTGACCTGTGCTTCAGGTCATTGTCCTGCTGAAATGTTAATTTTTGACCCAGTTTTAGATTCACGCAGGTTTTCCTCTAGGATTTGTCTGCACTTTGCACCATCCATCTTCTCCTCAATCCTGACAAGCTTCTCGGTCCCTGCTGATGAGAAGCATCCACATAACATGATGCTGCCACCACCATGTTTGACAGTTGGGATGGTGTTGACTGGGTGATGTGCTGTGTTGGTCTTGTACCAGACGTAATGCTTTGAATTTAGACCAAAAAAAAAGCTCAATTTTTGTCTTGTCTGACCACAAAACCTTCTTTCACATACCTGCAGTATCATTTACATGCTTTGTCACAAACTCCATATGAGATTTAAGATGATTCTTTTTCAGTAAAGGCTTCTTTCTTGCTACTCGCCCATACAGACTAGCTTTATGTGGGGATCAGGATATTGTCGATGTATGAACACTGATTCCCATCTCAGACATAGAACTTTGCAAATCTTTCAAAGTCATTGTTGGCTTCACAGTGGCATCTCTAACCAGTTTCTTGCTTGCCCGGCTGCTTAGTTTGGAATGGCAGCCTGATCTGGGTAGCAATTAGGTGGTATGAAGCACATTCCACTTCTTAATGATGGACTCAAAGGGATAATCAGTGACTTTGAAATTTTCTAGTAACCTTCTCCTGATCTGTGCTTCTCTACCACTTTATTCCTGACTTGTTTGGAAAGCTTCTTGGGCTTCATGGTTGATATGTCGTATCACTATGCGAGTTGAACAGATGCATTTACTCTGAAATCAAGTTAAACCACTTTGATTGCACATGGACAGAGACCAATTCACTAATTTTGTGACCTTTCAAACTAATCTTTTGCACCTATAATATCAGCATTTTTTTCAGCTTTCTCAGTTTAGAGTAGATTGTGTAGATTCTAAATATATATTCCAATTTTGAAAGTTGCATGAAGGATAACTTGAAGTGTTACCACACACACACACACACACACACACACACACACACACACACACACACACACACACACACACACACACACACACACACACACACACACACACACACACACACACACACACACACACACACTATTTAGTTGCATTACGTGAGGTGTTTGCAATTAAAAATGTCCGTGTTTACAAATTTATATCAAGGTATCTTTGTATGAAATGGTATTGGTAAGGTTTTTGTAGTATTGAACTAGCCTACTGTAGTATGGATGTATTTCTTTAATGTTTATAAATGTACTATTAATGATTACATGTTAAGTGTTTTTGTGAAATGATGAGTCTGTACATGTTTATGACTATTTTAGCCACACACTAATGATGACAGCGACTCTGGAACAGAATCTGATGATGAAGGAGAGAAAAAAGAAGTTCAGAAATGTAAGTCAGATTTTGGTATTAATTAGTGGCTATTTGAAGTTTTGGCACAGACTTGTAGTGAGAACGTTAACACATGTATAACATGGGTTTTGGCTTTAATAATTAAATTCATTAGAATAAATCTTCAGGGTGTGGAACTAGGTAAATCTATATTATTATGGTTTTAAAGTGTAACATATTATTCAGCTGTATCCATACAAATGTCTAAAGTAAGGAATTATTTATCTTTGAATAAGTGTCCATATGTTTTTAAAATCGAAGTTTAACAATAAAATGATGTTTATACACATACTTTTTTTTTTAAATATTGAAACCAACTAACATTTCACTGTTTCTCCATACAGGTGTGTTCATTCTCATGTTGTCCTAAAATATGCAGCATGTATCACATGAGATGAACTTTTGTTTGTTTTTGTAACTGGAAATGGGTGATGTAGATATAGCATCGAAACCTATTTAAATACTTTAAGGTAGTTTATGTTTTGCCTACTAAGAAGACCATAGATAGAAATAAATGAAGCATCACTTATCTATAACTTGAGATTTTCTGACCATACATACATATTTCAAAGTGATACAGTAGGTCACATCTTTCACAGCTTTGAAAACCACCAACATTGTGATTGTGTAGAAAAAGTAACTTATATCCAGCATGGCCTGTTGGTTAGGGCACTTGACTCGCAATATGTAGGTTATGGTTTTCGAATCCTGTCATTGAACATGCTCATTTTTTCAGCCTTGGAGGCATTTATAATGTGATAGTCAATCCCACTTTTCAATGATAAAGAGTAGGTCACGAGTGTTGACTAACTGCCTTTACTCAAGTTTTTCAACTTAAAGTGTAGTTTTGCATGAAATTAAACAGAAACAAAGTATGTTTTGGCATATTAGTAAGTTACATAATGCCCACCTCCTCGACTCATTATTAGTTGGAGCAAACACAACCGTCAAATTTTATTTGTGTGACTGTTAGTGAGAGATACTATTTTGTAAATGTCTAGGTAGTTGCAGTTTGTGTGCACCACAGATTAAAATGATAATAAATAGCCTATCTTAATGTAAATTGCTAGTAAGCAATTCCATTAAAGTTTTCTTTTTTTATTACAGTTTACTATATGACGGAATATGAAAGAATTGAATAGATAGTTTAAGCATTTGTTTAACAAAAAGTAACAGCTTGGCATGGTATAATTTGTTGTTAAACAAATCTTTAAACAACTCTGTTTATTCAGTTATGTACAAGTTGCCCAGTGTTGGCTAACAACACGAAGAATTAAATTGTGGCAAAATGCTACAAATTCTTCAAATACCTATAAAATGAAAGGTTTCTTTTTTGTGAGTGTAAAACACGTAAATACACCAGAAAATGAAATAGTTTTAGTAATATGCTTTTTTATTATGTATATACTGTATACTCTAACCCTGTGTACTATCATTTACATTTACTACAAATCGATAAAAAAGATCATATATCTGTCATTAAGTAACATGCAATTCCTGAAAACTAGGCTTTTCTGTAAACTTGTTCTGATTTGACACACCTCACCACTGTAGTTTTTTCTGTAATGCTGCAAGTTATTGAGACTTTATGATTTGTATTTATGTAGAGTTTTGTTTGACATGTGAATATTTTGCTTGAGGACAGTGATTTGTAGCCATGCCAAAATTTGCCGATTGTGATTACTATGGTTAATCTCTGTACTTCTGTTTTCCATTGAAATGTGCATATCAAATCTCATGACCAATCATTTGACACTTGTGTACTGTTGACAATATCTAATAACAGTAGTTGTGTTATGTCATAGCCACAGTGTGTGTGTAATATAATTAAATAATACTTAATTCACTCATAGTTTAAGATTAAGGTTTTTAACTTGGAGTGACAGCAAAAAGACTTAATATTGAGTTTAGATTACTTTTGGAAAAATGTCTAGGGGACTATTTGTGCAGGATAAATAGATAAAGAATAAAATACAAACTGATGAAGCAAGTTTGTGAAACTAAACTCAAGTTCTGTCTGGTTTTAAAAAAAAAGCTGCACAATTTATGTGTGAGAAAATACAGTAACTAAAGACTATGAAGTCCATTATAACTATAGCTATTAATTCAATACTTATCTAAAAAGTTCAAAAGATATTTATCATTCTTTACTATTTAGTAACTTCTAGTCAAAGCAAACTGCCCGAAAATGGGTATAGTCAATTAAGTCTTATTTTTAAAGATTAGAATACATTCTTTAATCAGTTGGGTATTCTCTCTGTTAACAGTATTTTTGGCCATAAATCAAAATCATCCAATGATTAAATCTTTCTGTACATAACTAGAGTTATTCAGTTAGTTCTGTTTAACCCAGGTGAGGTTAGTTAAGAACAAATTAGGTGTTTGAAAATTAAAATAACATAATTGTACTTTATACTTGTAGATTATATGTGATTTTAGGAAGAAATTAATGCTGCAAACCCATGAGACTTATATGAACTAAAACTCTTAGCTACGGTATACATACTGAGGAAGAATGTATGAATTTTGTATAATATCATAAATAGAATAACTTGTACTGTTTGACCAAGTTTATATACATGTGACTAACTACTATTGTATATTTTTGTAGGTATGGAAAATGTTCAGGTGGAAGAAAAGAAAAGAAAATTGGGAACAGGTAAAAGTCCACATGCGGTGACAAAACAACAGGTGGATTGTAGTTGTGAAGGTCAACACCAGGTATGTTGTGCTTCTAAAACAGATACAGAGAGCTCTCTTCTAGACTCTGCACTGCCAAGTGACAGTGATCATAATTTTGACCAGCATAGCTCCGAGGAAGAGCTAGAAGTAATTAATAGTGCTGGGAACGTTATTCCTCGGAATAGCATGTATCCTGAGAAACGAAAATGGTCACAAGCCAACCGGCTTAGCTGTGGGGAGCACTCTGCATCCTCAGATGATGAGGTACAAGATGTGTTTTGTATATCGACTCCCGTGGAGTTCTGTGCTTCCCCTCCTGCAAATGTGCACAAACCTAGTAGATCTCTCTCACCCCCACCAAAAGTCTTTCACTCTGCATCTGCCAACATCCCTTCTTTTGAAGTCTGTTCTGTTTCCCCTCGCAACACATCCCCTCGTAAGAAACACAGACAAATGCATGCCAGTGGAGGTGCAAATATCCAGCGACCATGTTTGGATTTTGAAAAAATGCAGCAGGTAAGATATGTGGAATACTCATATTGTACATAACTTGTTGCATTATCTTTTTAATGCTTTGAAAGATTTAACTATTGTTAAAGCTTTGACAACTGTCTTAAGAGTACAAAAGTATTTATAAAGAGTATAAATTCTTCAGTTTATTTGTATAATGTAAAATAATACAAGAATCCATCGAATTATTTAAGCCTCACAAAAGTAGTAAACTATCATTTTCTGTAATGTTTTGCAAAAATTGAATTACTTAACCCTGAACTGACAGTCCATGCCATATGCTTAACAAATCTTTGTATAAACTTTTTTTTTTAAGTTTTATACTGATCCAGTATATGTTATGTGAGGAAAGAATTATTTGTTATGGCCATTAAATTTTTTTTTTTACAGATTAATATTTAACTTTGTGTGATTTGAAATCGGTTTCTTATCTTTTAATTTCTTTGAAACTTTGAAGATAAAAATGAAAGCTTCTGTTCATTACAAACATAGTAGTCATTTTATTCCCTTTCTGTAATTTATTGTATTTAAAGAACCAGAAATGTGTAGATAATTAAATAACTTCCAAAATCAATCAAAAACATAAGGCACCAAACTATCATAAGTGTATGCAATATAAGTAGAAAGAATACTATAAAAGAAGTACCAGCAATGCAATGATGTGCAATTAATTAATCAACAAAACGTGAATATCTTATCTTGCAGACCCTTTCCCTGTGGGTTACACTAATACATAACTGTTGCGTGTTATAGTGGTATTATCTGCCTTGTGCATTTCCTGCTCTTGTCATTGGTGAAAGAATCTATTGAAATCCTGATAAATTAGTTTAAAGATGTATGTACCTTTGAACTTAGCATATATATTGTAGGATGAAACTAGGCTTTTGGTTTTGTTTAGCGATGTGAAATCAACTTGTCTTGTTGATACAATTTACATTAACATTGTCTGTCACCCCCATTTTACGTGTGTACTGAAACTTATCCAACTTTCTGTTGAAATGTTTTAAATGGTGAGCTGGTGTATGATGTTTGCATTTATTCATAAATTCAAATTCTGTTGTTATTTGTACACATATAAGCTTTTACAACTTAAAACAAGTACTTTAGTTATTGAATAGGGATTATATTGATACACTTAAGCATATTAAAATATGCCTAAAATTTATAATATTTACTGCTTGATAATTAGACTTCATGTATAACATGATATTACAGGTGCTCAGGTGTCTATCAGCAATTAAAAGGTTAACACAAAAGAAATAGTTGTTGCATTACACGTGAGAAGACCGTCTTTGTTACTTAACATTTCTCGTATAATGCTGTAGATTGTTATATTTAAGTAACACTAGTTAGTAAAATGTCAAGAGAACAATGATTGGAAATGAATATCATCAAATCTAATCCAAAATGAATATTAATTGGGAGAGAAAGCTCGTAGAAATGAAGACTATCAGGTTTCTTGTTTCTGTCGGAATTGTCTTCACTGTTATTATCAATATTATTTGCATACTTATATTCAATGAAAATATTTTCCAAATGGGAAGGAAAGTTTCAGACAAACATTGATAAAATTCCAATTTCTCCATAGTGAAGTATGTAACATATTTCATAAGTATAAAGATTTTACACTGTAAATATTTTGGCACTGATGGTTGTGTTGTAATACAAGTTTTTTTTTTATATATCTCCTTAATCTAATTATATTTGAATGATCTTAATGTTTTATGGAAATAATGGGACCTTGTTTCTCAGAAGTGTAAGGGGCAGAAGGGGGGAAAGTTTGTAAGTATGCAAGATTTAAGTTAGTGAACAGCTGTACAGGATCCAGAAGAAACTAATCCTTAAAAGACCAAAGACACCTTTTGTTAGACTCCACATATAAATTAATTTGGATTGAGAGAATCATTGTAGATGGTATGTGGTGTAGTAAAAAAGCTCAATATTGGGTAGTGACTTTTCTTATTGATTTCACTGCAATGGAGGTACAGCTGTTGTATAGTACTGGATGTAATTTGTTAAATGTAATATAGATGAATATTAAGAAAGAAAGGTATCAAGTGTGTAATGATTTGAGGCACATTTGTTTTGAATTGTATTGTAAAACATTGTACTACTGATAAACAATGATGAGAACAATCCACATTATGAATTATACTAAGTATATACTACTATCACCTTCTGTAGAATCGGGACTGATAAACCTATGTTAAACAGGATGTTTATATAGATACACACTTACATTAAGTGTTGCTTGAAAAATATTGGTTGTAAGATTGGGTAGTTTTAATATCATTAAGGACAACCTGCCATCAGAACTTTGATATACAATATTCTATTAATAAAGATATTATTATAAACAAAGTTGTTTACCAAGTCATGGCTATTAGACCAACAATAAGAAAGATATTACACACACATGTATGTATATTTTATTTAAGGTGAACAAGGGACCTGTTTGTGATCCTTCTAGGCCAGTGTTTCTCAACCTGGGCATACTGCCTCCTAGTGATCATTTTTAAAATTCAGGGGAGCAGTAATTTTTTGAGAGGGTGGAAAGAAAAGTTTGAGGGTTTCAAAGTTTACTTGTTAAAATTAAACCATAAGAAATAGGGGTTTTTCTTTCAACATGTTTGAGCAAAAATCATTGTGTGTGTGTGTGTGTTTAAGGCAAGCAATGCCCAACCCAATGCTTCTTATCTATTGGTTGAGCATATCTTTTTTTGGGTGCCATTTTCGGTACTTGTATTAAAAATTTATTAGAAGGGGGCATGAGTACCCACTGTTTACTGATATGGTGCTGCTGACAAAAAAAAGAAAAAAAAAGGTTGGAAACACTGAGCTAGGCTATTCCATTCACTAAAAAAACTTTTAATATAAAATAAACACTCAAAGTTAGCCCTTATCATTCAAATACTTATCAAGCTGAAGGCAACACATTCCAAAGATCAACCATCCTGTTAGAAAAATAAAGATGTCTTACCTGAAAATGACTTCTGCCATGTCAAACCTGGTATTTATGTTCTTTAATGATATTATTCTCATCACTAAATATGAAGATAGATGATGCATCAAAACTATCACTTCATTTAACAATCTTAGCCCTCCTCTGATCCCTTTCCAATAATTCAACATCCTTCCTAAGGTAACAAGCTCAAGATCAAACATAATACTCCAGATGTGGCCTAAACAAATGGAAGATGAGTGGATCACACTGCAGTGGCTATAGCTCCCTTTTAGTGCTGTCTATGGTAATGGGGTTTTTATTTTATCCATAATGGATGACCATGCAGTATTCATGAAGTATGAGCTGTCAGGTGTATATTCTATAATTAATTCTGATTCCAGAATTAATTATAGAATATATACACTTACCTGCTGCTATCTCTTTACTCACTACAAAAAATCTAAGATAAACCAAAGAACACTGGTACTTTCTATAACTAATTCTGGAATCAAAGTACAAATGGTCGTACACCTTGTTTTTGTTTCCTACAGTACATTATTGAAAGATTTAACAGATAAACACCAATTTGTGTTGACTACAATATCAAAAAGACAAAATATTTAGGTAACCATAAAAGAAACACCACTTCATTGTTAATATTTATGTAAGACAGTAGCAGCCACACACACACACACACACACACACACACACACACACACACACACACACACACACACACACACACACACACACACACACACACACACACACACACACACACACACACACACACACACTACTATATATATATATATATATATATATATATATACTACTACTACTACTACTACTACTACTAC